ATCCTCTGGGAGGTATTTCCTCAGGGTCAGCACACAGAGGGGACCCGTACCTCTATTTCAAGCTGGAAGCAGGACTTGGTAATATGTAAGAGTCTCCTGCATGGTTCTGGTGTTGAAAGCGTCAAGGGGTCACAGAGAGCAGCTGAAGCTTGGCACTCTGAGAGGCCAGGAAAGGCCATAGGTGAAAGTGCAGCTTCAGTTGCAGTTAAGACCCCAGGATTGAAGGGGTCATGGAGAGAAACTGAGGCTTTGCACCCCAAGAGGCAAGAAGAGGCCATTGGTGAAGGTGTAGCCTCAGTTTCAGTGGAGACCCCAGCTTTTTGGAGATGCCAGGACCATGCGACAACCACCAACGACAGCGGTAGATATGGAATGGAGCTGGCCTGGGTCTGCTTGACGAGCTGTGTGTGCTGTGGATGGCAGAGTCAGAGAAGTGTAGCTCCCAGAACCCTTTGGAACACAGAATTCTGATTGTGAGTGAATCCCAGATGTCCAGCATTGAGCTACTTTGCGGGACTTTGGTTTTGCTTAGGTGTGCCCAATTCTTCCCTTTGACATAAGACAGAACTTGTTTTGGATTTTACAGAAGCCTACCCACAGTTAGGAGACTTTTAAAAGAGACTATGGACTTTTAAGTGTTTGGCAGAACCCTTTGGAACACAGAATTCTGATTGTGAGTGAATCCCAGATGTCCAGCATTGAGCTACTTTGCGGGACTTTGGTTTTGCTTAGGTGTGCCCAATTCTTCCCTTTGACATAAGACAGAACTTGTTTTGGATTTTACAGAAGCCTACCCACAGTTAGGAGACTTTTAAAAGAGACTATGGACTTTTAAGTGTTTGGATTTTTTTAAGGACTGTGGGGCTTTTACGGTTGTACCATCTTATGTTGTGAATAACACGTAGATGTTTGTACATGCATCTCTAATCTCCATGTATCTGATTGTTACTAGTCACAGTTACACTCGATCCTTGGCACCTGAGCATGGATGTAAAGTCATCTAGCAATGTTTACCACCTCTACTAATTAACATGAAATAAATTTCCATGCTTCTTCCTCAAATATAATACATTTTTAAAATTTTGTTGATGTGTGTGTGTGTATGTGTGTGTGTGTGTGTGTGTGTGTGTGTATATCAAACTG